TGTGCTCTACTCTATTGGCTGAACTAAGGATATGCATATAGTGATGGGGTTACATATTTCCTATAGTTGAGTGTAGCTGACATGTGCTTTATTGGATTAATGACTTCTGTATAAGCTGTAGTTACTAGCTAGGTGCTTATTTGCATACTCTTGCTCTGCTGTGTTGACATTCCATAAAAGCTTTAGTTAATAAATGCCTTTATAATCAAGATGAGCAGCCACTAACTGCTTATGAATGAGCACGGAATGCACAAATCGCAAGGAATCATAGAAAGATGGAAGAACTTGGAATACGACGTGTGGGCCCTAAACCTGTGTCTCCAAAGGCAAAAAAAAAAGTCAAGCACAAAGGGTAGACACAGTGAAGATTTGGAATATATCCCTGAACCAGGGGAGGTAGTTGAGGGATATGATGATACAGATGAAACAGATTCAGATTTAGAAGATGAGACAGTGCCCCTATCAATTGATGAGGTGCTTGTTCTATCTTGTATTATGTTCAGAGGGGGAGGGGACTGGGGGCTAGGTAGCCATGCAATGCTTTACTATTTGGATATCAATGGAATTTGTACATGCTTCCTGCTTAAGTTTGTATCTCTAATTTCAGTGTCTGGGTCGAAGAAGCCATAGAGGAGGCTCTGCTAGCAGGACAAAAGGCAGCACTGCCATGAGTCCTGGATGAAGGCTCTCCAAGCGAGTGAGGTCAATACCACTAGAAGAGGCTGCTCATGGATTTTGTACTCGGAGGTCTTCCGTTGGCAAAAGAGTGGAGGTAGCAGTAGTAGGTGAACATAATTCTCCATCACGACCGACACCTGGACCCAGGGATCAATTCCAAGTTCATCAACTGACTGGAGACATTGTTCGAGATGGCACCCTACCTAGCCCTAAGAGAGACTCCTCATGGCCAGATGATGATAGCCCCGCTGAAGAGGAGCCCTCTCAGCAAACTCCTGTCTCCCCCCACCCGTAGAACGATGAAAGTTGCCTAGGTTAGTATTACCTTACAGATGTCTATCAATCAATTTGAACTAGCTATTTGATATCCATGTAACTTTTCTAACAATCTAAATGTATGAAAACTGTGTAGTACCATTGCCAGGAAGAGCGAGGAAGCTAGGGCCTCGAACTCGTGGAATTATGCTTGACAAAATGAGCAAATCACTAGGAGGAGCAAGGATGCGCATCTCTGTTGCCGAGGGGAACAGAAGGCCACATGATCCAGTGCAAGGTGTCAAGTTTGCCTCAGAGGAAGGTATAGTAGTCAGGAAGGATGTACCAATTTTGACGCATTGGAAAGAATACAAGGGCAAGAAGCCCGGCGCCGCCTATTGCACAAGATTTGTGGAAAGGCTAAATGTATGTATGGGTATCCCCTCTTGACATTCAACTCTGCTTTGAGCAACTTTAATAGATTTACTTTTCATTTACACTACTATATGCAGGGAAGGTTGCGCGTTAACAGTGCTCACTCACCAACAAAAAAAGCTTGACAGAATGTAATGCAGTCTATGGTACGGCAGGAATGCTATAGGTTGAAGAGAACATACTTCAATGGCGTCCCTGCTAATCAGATCCGTATGACCTCTCTTGTCTCGTCCATGAATGATGCACAGTGCTGTGAACTTATCAAGATATGGTCTAGTCCTAAGAACAAGGTGTGTGAACCCATCAATTTTCTATCTAGTCTTGCTATGGTCTACTTGTGCTGCAGTCTAACACAAATAAAGCTATAGGAAATATCTGAGAAGAACAAGCGAAACCGTGCAAAAGTGAAGTACCACCAGGCTACAGGATCTTGCTCCTATGGCGTCCAGATGCAAAAAATTATAAGTGATGGTTGTGTTTTATTGTTACTCTTGCCTTTGTATAAATATAAACCAAAACTCATGTGCAATGTGAACAGAAGGAGAACAAGAGGAATGCAACAGAACAACATCAAGGACTTGAAGAAGAAAATGGTCCACATGATGAAGATGTTAATACTTTGGAAATCTTCAGGGACTTCCATACCAGTAGGAAACATGGCTTGAGAGATGCTGCAAGAGCAGCAGTTGTAAGTAGCTTCTTTTGTTTCCCTTGAAATCTATTGAAGCCATTGCCATAAAAGAAGGAAACGTAGCAAGAGCCTAGTGTTACGGAAATCTACTAAAATCTACTGAAGCTTATGTAATCTCTATCAGCAATAGGCTGAGGAATACCTATGCATTACTTGTTATGAATCAATTTCTTGGGTTTTCAATTGAAGTCCTCTTACACTATCTTCAACCTAATGTTTTACTAATTGAATTTCATAGGAAGCTATGGAAACTATGCAAGCAGAACCTGATGCTAATGGGCAGCATCCAATTACTAGTGCTGATGTTGTTTGTAAGGTCCTCTACGTCCAACAGGGCAAGGCCCCCTCCTAGGGAAGCGGCAACAACCTTTTTTTAAAGAATGCTAGTATCCAGACAAGCTCCACCAGAACAGAGACATCGACGGAGATAATGCTTTGGGAACGACTTTTGTCGCATAAACAGAAAGTTCTCACGCCCTCATCAATCAAGTGGATGAACTGAAGAGGAAGACTGAAAAGACTAAAAGGGAGCTTGAGGAATACAAGAAACGGCAATAGGAGGAGTACAACAATCTCCATGAGCTATGCATGTGCTTCAGCTCTTCTGGTAACTCTCAGTCTTCAACTCCAGCGGCTTGATGCAGTGAACATTTGTGGTTTGATGTGTAGACTCATGTGCCAGTTTGATGTGTGGACTCATATGCCGGTTTAATATGGTGATACTCTGTCAGTGGTTTTCTGCTAACGTGTGAAATGTAAATTGTTGTTATTTGATTGCTAGCCTAAATAGTTATGTAGTCAGTCTGTGCAGTAGTGATGATCTTGAATTACTTCTATGACAAATTGATTGTACTCCATGTGGTAGAACCAGACAGCCACGTGATCAAATAAAATGCGATATGTGGACAAACCAAAGGCACGACATGTGAATTGACGGGGCATGACACGTGGGCTATTAAAATCCAACACGTGGAAGGAAATCGTAGCCACGTGGATGTATAAAAATACCACACGTGGACGGACATCATAGTGACGCGTGGTCAAATAAGAAACAGACACGTGGACCAATAAAAATACGACACGTGGTCCAATAAAGAAGTGACACGTGATCCAATGGCAACACGAAATGTGTGCTAGTAGAAAACTGCCATGTGGAACAACAGGGAAACAACACGTGGTCCAATAAAAACCTAAAACGTGCAAGAACCAGAGATTACCACATTGCGCAATAAGAAGGTGACACGTACCCGAACCATCTCCAATACAACCGGCTATAGCATGTACTAGTGGAAAGCATCTCCAACAGAAGCGCCCACCAGCGTGGCAGCCCCCTGCCACGCATGCCAAAACAGTTCTACGACGATCTGTTTTTCGTCACAGATCAAAGCACTTCTATGACGATTTTGTCAGATTCATCATAGATATGCAAGAGTGATGCGACTTCTATGACGAACCGGTTTTGTCATAAATTCGTCATAAAACTAAAATTATGACGAATTTGGCTCCTTCAGTGATGAAATCTATTCATCATAGAAGTGGATATTTCTTGTAGTGATATGAGGCCGACTCTAAAACGTCGCAGTCTATGAGACTTGGGTGATCTCTAGTAAGCCCATGTAGAGACCAGGGAGTATGACGTATATGCTACACCCACGAGGAAGGGTACTGTCAGCTAGGTACTAATTTGACTTTAAGTGAAACTCGTTCGCACAAACTTACAATTTAAGGCATAGTCCATTGTTCAAGTTGTGGATGGGTGTAGCTTGAAGCTCTAGGCGGAAGTTCAACTTAACAATATGTGCTGGAACAATAGGATATCAAACGATAATAGAAGCAGGCAAATGTCTAAATGAACATTTGAGATCTGGTGGGGGATTGTTAGAATATATGGGCTTCGCCCAATAATTTTTTTTAAAATTTCTAGAGAAATCTCAAAGGCCCATTCATGTGTGCAAAGAGTGGGAGTGGAAATTCTTTAGTCCCACCTTTGCTTGTGGAAGTGGAGGTAGCCATGCTTAAATATGGAAGTCCTCTCCACTTCCTCAATGCAAGTCTAGTGTGAGGAAGAGAAAGGAAGCCCCTTTTGTCGAAGTGGAATCGTAGAATAGAAAACGCACTCGCTCGCCTCGCCGAGGTGGGGCGAAGGGCGTGAGCACGCGTCACCAGCGTGAATGATCCGCCAAAATCTAGCTCCTCGCCTTGCGGGGACGCGGTCTCTTTTTTCAGTTTTAGTTTTTGGTTACTTGGCCTTTAGGTTTGTAGGTAGGAGCCCTACACAGTTTATATCGTGATTACGACATGAGATCGGGTTGGACAGGCCTATATAAGCAGCCTATCAGCCACGCCAAAACACATCTAATTGTGCTATGGTTTTTTCCTCGTCTCGCTGCAGCGCCGCCACCGTAACTTCTCCATCCCGAGCACCTGCGTGCACCGACGGTCAGGAGAGCAGGTCTTCGGAATGCTCGTCCTTGCGATCCTGCGATGGGAGAGGACGAATAAGGTTTTTGGAAGCACTCTTCGTGCGACTGCTCCCAACTACGCAGGCAGTGCCGGTTCGTGGTACAAACTGACAGTGTTGAGGAAAACAACACTGCTAGTTCATCACCCAAGCCGGCAGTGTTAAGTCAAACAACACTGCCGGTTCATCACCCAAGCCGGCAGTGTTGTTACTGTGATCACAGTGGTCCGTGGATGCAACCGGCAATGTTTGTTTGGGCAACACTGCCGGCTCAGTGCTTCAGCCCGTAGTGCTACGCCTATCAACTTTCCTTCTTTAGTGAAATGGTGAAGAAAGCCCATGCTAACTCATTTTAGCACGTACTTATAAACCAGCTTTAATACAAGATGATATACTTGACTCCTCGTTATTATAATGCTTGGGATAAAATACAATTTTTATTCTACAGGTGCCGAAAAAAATATAGGCAATACACAAAGATCACATAGAAAGTATGTAGTTCACCAACTTGTCAATGGCGATCTGAGCAGTCCCACCATCTTTCAAACATTCTCCCACTTTCTTCTTAAGCTCCTTAGCTCTTCCCCTCATCTCCCCTCCCTCCCTTTCCTTCATGAGCTTCCTAATGGCCTTCTCTATGTTTCCTCTTTCAAGCTCACCTTCTAGCTCCAACCCTACACCCCATGTGTTCACCACATACCTCGTGTTCGTCGTCTGATCTGCAAATTGAGGCCTGCACATCATTGGAACACCCTCACAGATACTCTCCAACGTTGAGTTCCATCCGTTGTGAGTCCAAAATCCACCGACCGCAGGGTGCGCCAGCACCTCCTGCTGCGGCGCCCATCGAATCACCTTGCCCCTGCTATGAACTGCAGCCTCAAAGCCATTTGGAAAATCTGGACAATCCATACCCCGTACCAAGTCTGGCCGAACCACCCATAGAAAAGGATGGCCACTGTTGGCCAAACCCCAAGCCACCTCCAAGAACTCATTGGAGTCCAGGGAAGCCAGGCTTCCATAGCTCACATACAACACCGATTCTGGGTGATGCTGGTCGAGCCACTCAATGCAACTGAAGTCTTGGTCCAACAAACTACTCCCTATGCTCTTAGAGGATAGCTTGTTGACAGGACCAGCTGCGAGTACAAGAGGTATGTTGAGCTCTTCACGGATCCTCTGTACCTCGGCTATTTCGAGAGCATCAAATGTATCCATCAGTAGACCAGAGGACTTCTTCACTGCTTCAACGACTCGAGCAAGTGTTCTTTTCATTACTTCTTGGTGGCTCGGGGGTGTATAGAAGAGGTCCCTTACCCGCAGCGGTGGCAGCTCCTTCACCGGCATATCGAGTTTCGTCTCTATACAAGAGCATGCATATAGTTAAATCACACTTAGTACTATAGTCTATTAGTGCACAACAATTCGTTTAATCATGGGGCAATGGTGTTCTTGCTTGCGGTGTGAAGACCAATTGTGATGTTATCCTCGTTTTCTTTTTAGTTTGTGATTTAGCCCTTTCTTTTACAACCCGAACGAATCGTTTGCCCCTAGTTTAACTTTGATAGTTGGCGTTGGAATAAAGGAATTAAAACAGAGAAAACATTCAAAGAATTGGTAAAATAATATGGGTGGTCTTGTACTTTTTATTCGTGCACTTGCAGACATTTCAAATTAAATGTTTGCAAAAATTTGCTCAAATTTTAAATGTATGCAAATTTGGTTGTCAAAATTTTTAGTATCTATCAAAATGCTCTAAATGTTAAAATAGGGGCAAAACGACATATAGTATTCATAAAAATAGGAGCAACTGTGATGAGCAAACTATATAGCTAAGTTTACACCGTTAAGTACTTGTAACAGAGAATAGAGGAAAACAACGCCTCCAGTTTTAAAAAAAAGCAGAGGCAAAATTGAGGATGGCAACAAGGCGGATTGAGATCTCTGGATCCGCCCCAAACCCGCAACATTTTGGGTATCAAACCTAAAAATCAATGGGCGAAAACTAGGCCGTGAAACCGAAACCCGCGGACCCAAAATCACGGATATCCGCCCCAAACCGACCCACTGCCATCCTTAGGCAAAATCACAAGGTTTTTAGAAAAATAAGGGTAAAATTATAATTGGGCTTGAAAACAGGAGAAAAAAACGCAAGAGCCCCTTTAATCATTAGAATTTTGGCTCAAAAACCAACTTTACAAGTTAAATTTGTTTAATGCTAGGCAAATTTCATTTTGAAAGTTTGTTGTGTACAATGGAAAGATTCCAGTACTGATCAAGTGTTAAGAGATTGGGAGATATATAGCACAAAAATATGTGCGTTAAGTTTCCAAAATAATTATCAGAATCCAAAAGCAAAAGCAAACTTCATTGTGCAGACGTAAATTGTCACCTTGGTGAGGCAGATAGCCTTTTTCATGAAGCATGGGGTAGGCAAGCAAGCAACGGAAGCAGGCGGCGCTCCCGGTGCTGAGCACCAGCGTCGGGAGGCTGTCTCCATATTTTGATATGTTATCTGGACTATTTTGGAAGTCCACTATCTTGTCACTTAATTTATTAGTTTTATGGTACTAGTGTTAATTTTGATACGTGGGGTCTAAAGTACAAGATGGCATGTCACTTATGATGAACCCAAAAGTAATACTCGTGTGGATTGACATTTGCGCCCTGAGCAGCTGGAAAGATGCACTAGTTTGGTTGAATAGTCATTCTGGTCCTCAACTATTGTCTGAGTCTTAGTTTTGTTCCCCATGAACTGAATTATTGTGGTCTCTCTATTTCAGATTGCATAGTTTTCAAGCGGCAGTACTTCTGTGAAAGCAAAGTTGAGAAATTCAGCTTACGTCCTTGTTTGTTTCCGTGGAATTGAATCTTTATTTTTTTAAGAATCAAGAATCACATTCCATTTTAGATCTTTATTGAAGTGTTGTTGCCGGTGAGAGATTCACGGCAGCAGTGAGGGTTCCCCATAAGGATTTTTTGTTTGTTTGTTTGTGTCTGGACTCATGAGAGATGAGTGGAGGAGATTGGGCCGTGGGTACTACCCCTCTTTCCATTTCTTACCTTCTGATTTTGACATAGGTCTGTACTTAAGATTTGGAAACTAGATTTGAATTTAGTCCTAGTGAAAAATCCAAACGGGCCATTAATTTCTTTCAGTTAGTTGTAGGTATTGCGGCAGGTTGACCAAAGAGGTTGGCTATATGTGAATCTGCAAGAGAAGAGAGAATGCAAAGGAAAGGGCCAAACCATGTAAGGGTCTGAAAGAGCAAAGACATGGCTGATGCGTTTATTCAGCACCTGGGGAATGTTGGGCCTGTTCGCTTGAACTTATCAGTCGGGTTATCAGCTAGAATCTACAATATTTTTCTCTCACAATAAAACAACTTCAGCCGGCTTTAATATCAGCTGGCTTCTTCTGGCGATGTCTTGGATATGCTCCATTCGCTGAAGCAGAGTCATGCGTTCGGCTATACAACTCCAGTTGACGCTGGCACACGGGACGGGTTCTTCTGTAAACGGATGCACAAAATCTGAAGACAGCAATTCGTCGTTCCATCGACTTTGAAGATCGTGATTCTTATGGCACGAACTGGTTTCGAATGATATGGTGTCCTTGCTGATTACTACTGACCTTGCTGGCTCATTGGCCTAGTAGAATGGAGTGCATTTGGAGAAACAGAAAAATAACTGACAAAGTTCCGCTTGATTTTGCGACCTTCCATGCTCACAATGCAGACAAAATCAGACCTGGGACTGCTACAGATAACAGATCTATCAACTATATCAAGTAGTAGTTGAGATAGGGGACAATCAGCCTGTTTGCTCGTTGATTTTAGCCAGCCCAAACCAGCCAGTCAACAGTGTTTTCCTCTCACAATAAACCAGCACCACAGCATCAGCCAGCTCAAACCAGCCCAGAAATCAACCAGCGAACAGGCCGAATTTCATACTATCAAGTTGAGAGACCAACCAGCTGCTGAGCTCCATCTCATCATTGCTTCAGTCTAGGCACATATCTGACCAACTTCGCATGCACAAGTACAAAGGCCCGCCAATTGCAGATAAAACCACAACAGATTCACTTACTCGAAACAAGCACACTCCAAAACACAGTCATAATATCACACGGATTTATATATTTTAATCTGCAAAAGTCAGCTGCAATGTTCCTCTGGACGTCTCTCAGCATCACCACCAATCACACACAAGATGGAAGGATCACATAAGATTCCGCTCCGGACACTCGTGATTTGGTGTGTTCTTGATCTGCTAGCGACTAGCGTGTGAATGCGTAGAAGACGATGCCGATGTAGATGAGCATGGCGGAGGGGACGAGGGTGACGAGCGGCACGACGGCGGCCCAGGCGGCGGCCCCGCCGGCGCCGCACCCGAGGCGGCCGAGCTTCACCTGCACCACGTTGACGAGGGCCATCATGAGGAAGCCGCACCCCGCGACGGAGCCCACGGCGGACGCGAGGATCCCGACGCGGAGCGCGGCGCGGTTGATCCGCGCGGTCCGGCCTAGGACGACGCCCGCGCCCACGGCGGCGGAGGAAGAGGCGGCGCGGCGGTGGCCGGGGTAGGTGCGGACGAGCTGCTTGAGGCAGAGCGCGACGAGGCTGGAGAAGAGGAAGCAGGCGAAGGCGAGGACGTGGAAGGAGACGAGGTCGGACTCGGCGCGGTCCCCCGCGGCGCAGGGGTTCCCCGTGCGCGGGTCGGCGCCGTCCGCGAGCCCCGGCCCGTCGGAGGAGGGCCGCCACGCCAGGCCCAGGAACGTGGCCAGGGTGAAGAGCGAGTTCACGTTCACGATGCCGTCCAGCGCCGTGATGTGGATGCTGGTGCCCCGGCCGCCCCCGCCGCTCCCGCCGCCCCCGGTCGCGACGTCGCCGCCGTCCATGGCGGCTGCTTTGCTGCTTCTTTGGATTGGGGAGACTGTGGTGAGGTGGGTTTGGGGATCGGACTGGGCACTGTGAAGTCCCCCGAGCTAGAGAAGCGTGGTCGGCTGGTCGGTGAGCACGTGTGTCCATATGACGGACACGGACCAACGTGGGTGGGTGCGACGGAACAAAGGAGAAAGCGTGTCGACACTGCGAAAGTTGATTGGTACCCCAAATAAAAATCATATACTTCCCTTAATAAATCAATCTTTAGACTTGTCTTAAATTGTTTTGTTAATTTGATCGAATTTATAAAAAAACAAAGATTTACGATCGTATCATTAGATTAGATAATTGGATATCAGATGTATGGTTGAGTATCAGAAATCCGAAAATTTATTCATATATACTAGTATTATTTTCCAATATAGATGTGCGGGATATCACAGTTAATAGTTGTACCGACAATTGTTGTTCACATGGCTTTAGATGTATAACACTAGCACGGCACTGTGTCACTAGAGCTGGTGCGGTGCGGGTGCAGCTTCAGCGAAAGCTGCTGCAGTGCTGCACCGATTCACCGAACAATCTCATCATTCACATTCTAGCTTCGATCTAACGTGAACTTGAAACACGCAAGTACGTGTGTACACCGCTAATTTGCTTCTAATATAATAGATAAGTATATCCAACGTTATTCATGACCAGAGTCGGACTCTATAAAAAAAAGAAAAACTGGAGCGTTGTATATGATACGATCCAAATGTGAATGACACCCATTTTAAGGCAAAGAGAGCTGAAGTTCAAGGGCAATCCGGGGAAAAAATTCAGCCCGATCTGGCCCAACCTGAATCCCTAGCCCATCATGAAACATGTGACAAATTGGCCTGTAGACCGGGCCTGATAATAATTTCCTGGTTCCAAAAACTTTTGCATGGGTCCATACGATGAAAAGTTTATTTATTTTGGCAAAAAAAAAAGGCTGAGTGGCTAGCCCGAGCATTGGTATGTGGGTTCCGTTTGATAGTCTAGAGGTGTATTTATTTTAGCTTTTGAGCTGGCTTTTAAAAAATTGAAAAACTAACTGCTGAGTACATACATAAACTAAAACCTAAAAAACACGTTGAGACCTGCCCATGCAAGAGAACAGAGAGCATCTGACTGTTTGCCATTGCAGATGCCTTGAGCCTTTCCTGACATGCTGCTGATTTTGTTAGCCAGATGGGACTATACTAGATAAAAACAACAACCTTGATTTTTTTCAGCACTTCTGAACTCACATACTCCCTCTGTCCCATTATGTGTCATTTTAGCTTTCTACCAAATATACCAAAGATTCTCTAAACCTAGACATAGGGTTTGTCCTGATACATGGAACATTGTGTGAATCTAGACATCCAAATAAACTGCCAGAATGACAAAATAAAGTTGGTGAAACTTGACGAGGGTGAGGCATAACCTGAAAAT